CGCGCCCCGCGCCCCGCGCCGTGGACCGCGACGGGAAAAGCCCGCGAGTGAAGAGGCATTTGGTGAAAGTGTTTTGAGAACAATCATAATTGCCTTGCTCTGGGCGGGGAAACTGAGGCGTAGGGCACGGAAGGTAAGACTTGGACAAGGTCAGGATGCACACACACACATGGGCTGCCCGAGCCAGGGAGGGGAGCCGGGTGGCTCGGCCAACCCGGCGCTTCGGCCTCTCTCGGTTTTGCGGTGGTTGTGTTGGCCTTGGATAAACGTCTGCTGTGTTTGTTTTAGAAATCTGCCGGCTTTTGTGGGACCGCTCCCGGGCTACCGAATGCCAGCTTACTTCGTGTGCATCTGGGAGGTTCTGGGGGCAGGTGACAGCACCGTGACCTATCACCATGGATGGAGATGGACTTTTTGATGAAGAAACCCAAAGTGTCTTCACCAGTCTGGGTGCTTTGACTGGCCCAGGTTTTGACAAAACCTGCCTGGTTCCCTCTGGGGGATCCGAATGAGAGATCTCAGACACCTTCACTGCGAAGCCAAGGACATTTCTGTATAATCAACGGATGAAAGGATTTTCTCAGACTCTCTTTCCTCCCATTTTCCTTGAGGATTAATCCACCAGAATCCACAGTTCCGGTGGAGACTGCGAGGCATACAATGTGGCAGAAGCCTAGAGCGCCTTCGGAATTGCTCTGGACCCTGCCTTTAGCGTAGAGGACTCTCTTGCCGCTCCCCTCCCCTGCCCCCAACTCTCTCCTCCTGTCTTTGACTGGTTCTCGTTTTTTTTTTCCCCCTGTGAAGTTCTGTTTCCAAACTGTTCCCCGGAGCTATAAGTGGATTGGCAGTAATGAGAGATTAGGCGGTGGGAGAAAGCCCAGTGCCCAGTGCAAAGTGTCCTCTTCCTGCTGCGGCGCCGCCGACATGAAGTGCTTTTTCCCAGTGTTGAGCTGGCTGGCTGTGCTGGGTAAGTGACTGCTTATCAGTTCTACTGGCCGTGAAAGTTAAACCTGCTCTCATTGCTAATTTCCTTGTGGTTCTCTCCCATCCACACTGGGCTTTGGGGGGGGGACGGAACGGGGTAGCCAGAGTGTGACCGTGGATTCAAGAGGGTCCATTGGTGGAATACGGGTTGTCTTAAGGCAGGTGTGTTGACTGCCCTGGGCCTTTGGGTGAAGCCCCTGCGGCTGAGGGATGGTGTGTGGGTTGATGCTTCCAAGGTTTTCACTTTCGTGTTGGGGCTGCAGGTTCCAGGGAAGTTACAACATCATTCTCACTCTGTTGGGAAAGGTGGTTTGATGGATGACTGAATGACGGTGCCTTTTCTTACTGTTGTTTTTGGAGGGGGAAGTGGGAGTGGGTGGGCCGGGGGGCTGAAGGGAGGCTTTGTCTTGCCTAAGAAGTCTGTAGGCTAAATGTGTTTGAAGACACTAACTAGTCTTGTGTCTCCGCGCCAACGCAGCCCAGTTCATGGCCCCTGTGGGAGGTGAGGCTGGAGATACTGGGGCTTGCCTGGCAAGGGGTGTGTTAGGATGATTGGTTTTCATACCCTCAGAGACAAGTCTGAAGGCTCAGGAGGAGGAAGAAACTGTGGTCTCAGAAGTGGGGCCCTTGACCCTCTCCAGGCTTCCGTCTCCAGTGTAGATCCCCAGCCCCTGTCCATTCTTGTTATGCCATGGAGGGCGTCTCCACCTAGTATCTTCCAATGCTTCGGTTTATATTAAACTTGATATCCAGCACCCGGTGCATTCTCTCACGGGATCTCCTCAGACCTCAAGAATGGACACACCCCCTACCTCCTCTGTGTGACTCTGTCCTCTGCATTCTGAGAAGTTATGGCTGCTGGCCATTTGCTTCTCTATTCTAGGTGTCTTGCACTTAGGAATTTATCCCTGGAGATTGTCAGTGAATTATCTGCACCCTTACGAAAGTTGACAGGGGTGTGGATTGGGGATGGACTTTGGAGTTAAGAGACTTGAATTCCGATTTCAGCCTCATCTTGATTGACATCCGAATCTCAATAAAACACCCAAAGTCTGCAATTAAGGCATGTAAGATGTCCTAAAAAATCTTGACTGCCTTGAAATGTGTTTGAAACTCATAATCAGTGTGTTCATTCGGTGGTGCTCAAACTTGGGTACAGGCTGATGTCTTTAAGGCATCTTTTTTTTTTTAAAAAAAAAATCTTGATAGTCGGGTAACCACTTCAGACCAGTGATACCAAATTCTCTGGAGTGGGAATGGAGTCTTTGGCTGAGCTGGGGAATTAGTGTGTGAGTATATTAGTGTCAGCCCTTTCCTGCCCAATGCACATGTGCACAGGCATGCACACCCCTGTCTGTCTGAGAGTTTAGTCAGTTGACCCTGTTGTTGGGATACAGGGTCCCCATGTCTCCTGTGTGCTCAGGTAAAGGAAAGCAGGTAGGTAGGCTTCCCTTGGCTGGTCTCTTAGACTGCATTTATATGTGTTGTACAGTATTGGTCCTTGTGTCTCAGCTTGAATCAGCAGCTAGTGATTCATCGAGATTGGAAAGAACACAAACAGAGGCTGCCCCCCCCCCCTCCGGCCCAGGCTTGGGTGTGTGGCTGAGGGGGTGGGTGGGGCCCGGGCCCAGGGCAGAAGGAGCCACCAATGGGAAAACAGGGAACTATGACATTTGCGCCCTTTCTTTCTGTTTGGCTGTTGAAGAAATGTGAGGCTGCCTGCTGGTCTCCCTGCTGTTCGCTCTCTAGGTCCCTCTGTGGAGGGGAGCTGGGACCCTGGCACCCACTGAGTGCTGTCATCCTCCCTCACCCTCACCCTCGTGTGCAAAGAGGGGCCCTGGAGGAAGCTGTGGCTGTAAAGGGCTCCTGGGGTGGAAGGCCAGATGTGTGTGACTGGAGATGTTTGGAACTGTGGACAGGCACACTAGTGCCCGCCCCATTCCGAGCCCCTCTGGGGGACTGGCATCCTCTTTGCCTGTCACCTGATAGCTGACAGTGTGGCCAGGGAGGCCTGCCTCCTACCAGTCTTCACCTGGGAGAAGCACAGGGTGTCTGGGGAGGGAAGAAACCACACTTCAGTCTTGGTTCCTGCTGGCCGCTGGTGTGGTCTGACTCATGTCAGCATTCCTGCTGTGTGATGTGAATCAATGCGTACTGCGACTCCAACACAGTCAAGAATCTGGAGGTGTTGAGCCCGTGCGTGCGGGTTGCACACTGAGAATACAGTTGTATGAAAGTTGAGTCAGGTTAAGTGCTCGAAAGTGGGACTGATAGAGGAACCATCCTCCAGACGTGGCAGTTTGAGCTAGGAAACCCTGCGACCTTCTGTGATGGGCACTGCAGGGTGAATCTGTGAGATGTGTGTGACCCTTACTTAGGCCTGCACATTTCTGCTCCCTTCCTTTGCCAGTGTGTGGAGTTTGGTTCAGGGTCCTCTTTTATTGCCTGTCTAGGACACTGATCATGCAAGTCTCTGTCCTTGTCCTCCCGACTGCCCACTCTCCTGTCCTTCGGCTGTCCTAGGTGGCTCTTCAGTGTGTAGCCAGAGGCTGCTACCACCTCTTGTTTCCATTCCAAAGGCATCTTAGGCCTGGGCTGGTGAACAGCAGAATCTCCACTGACAGGAATGGATGGAGTCAGCGGGGCAGGAGAGAGAGAGAGAGAGAGAGAGAGAGAGAGAGAGAGAGAGAGAGAGAGAGAGAGAGAGAGAGAGAGAGAGAGAGAGATATCAAGGCTCATCTGAGTGTGAGGAAGAGGGAATGGGGCGGGAGAGATGGGGTGGCTGGCACCGTGTCTGTGCCTGGGCACAGTCTGGGTGAGTAAAGGCGACATGAAAAGCTGGCAGTGGAATACGTAAGAGAAGAAAAGTAGGGGTTGTGTCTTCTTAAACAAGAAGAGACCACTCTGGAAAGATGCCTGTAGGCTGTAGATACAGAAAGCACACTTCAGTTTTGTGTACCATGAAGACGTAGACCTCCCAGACCAGTGTGGATGTTGCAAACAAGATGAAATAGCTTTGGGAGTGTTAGCAGTGAGAAACGTGGGAGATGAGCCACCCCTGGACCAACACAGAACATCCGGATGGTGTGCGGGCATTTGTGTTCTCCAGTGTACCCATACATTGGTTATAGGGTTTGGGAAGCCTTGTGTGTGAACAGGATGGGATGAAGTTATTACTTCCTTCCAGTTGTTACGGAGAGGCCAGAGGGTGCTTCCAAAAGAGATGGAAGGAAACTTTGATGTACTGATTGGCGTGAACTCAGAGGCATGGCGATCAAAGGCAGAAGAGAAGGAGGGAGCAGATGACAGAGCAGGGGGCTTACATCATTCAGGGGAGGGGCCTAAAGCAGGGATGGGCTTCGTGATGGATGGACGAGCCAGCACGACTGCCCTCACACTGTTGAAAGGATGGTATACTTCGCTTCAAAGACCATCCCATGAAGGTGCTGGAGAAAGACTCTTGTCAGGAGGACTGGACTGGCCAGGATGCCCCGTGTAGTAGCCTGCCTTCCATCATTATAACAAAATACCAGGCATAACTAACCTAGAAAAGGTTCCTTTGAGCCTTACAGCTTTAGGGATTGGCTCTGCTGCTTTGGGGCAGAGAGGGCATCCTGGTGGCGGAGCAGTGGTGGTGGTGGGGCAGGCAGGACCACTCACCTCATGGCCGAGGATGAAAAAGGAGGAGAAGGAACTGGGTTGTACTGTGCTTTTAAAGGGCATGCTCTCAGGGACCCGAAGACTTCCCACCAGGCCCTACCTCTGAAAGTTGTCTTCTTTGTCTTCCCAATACCGCCACCCCGTGCGTGGTCCAAACCTTTGGGTGTATGGGGGTATTTAAGATCCAGACAGTGGCGTCTTTATACTGTAGAAATGATTTGAGTCACCTCTCTGTACCCAGGGCTGTGTTCTGCCTCTTTTGCTATACTGTCCATTGTAGCAGGGCTACAGTTATTACCATAGCAACGGTAATACCAGCTCTTTAAACTCCAGTCCTTATTGTGAACCAAGCCTATGGTTCAGTCCTCAAGACAACCTTAGGCAACAGGTACCTTACATTTCCATCCTTTTATAGACCAGGATGTTGAATTCCAAGGAGATTAAGTAATTTGCCTAAAATGGATTGCTGGCCAGATTAATGCATTGCATGGTATTTGGGCCCCAGTGTCCTGCAGGCTTGCTTCCTGTGCATGGCCTTTACTCTCAATATTAGCTCAGGGTCCAATATGGCCATCTGGCTCCAGCCATCAGGAGGGAAGAAAGGATTAATGAAGGATTCATGATGAATCTTGTATGTTAAGGATGCTTACCGGAAGGTATGCACATTTCTTCTGTTTATAGTCTCATTGCCTTGAACTTAGGCATAATGGCCATACTTAACTGCAAGAAAGACTGGGAAGTATGCTTATCCCAAGTGCCACGGCCATGCTTAAAACCTGGGGCTGTATTGCTTTAAGCAGAGTGCAGGTTTTGGTGGACAAATACCGGCTTCTGCCATAGCCACAAACTTATAAGTGGCCGAGTATAGTACTGAAGCCAGGACTGTCAGTTCCAAATCTGGGGTTCTTTTTATCAAACAGGCCATCCCTTCTGAGAGTGAGGCCCAGACTCTGGCCAATAAGGAGCCTTACTGGGAAAGACATGAGCTAGACGAACCAACAGTTGTTGCCGAGGAAGCAACATAAGCCAGCATATAATTACAAAGAACATGTGTGGCGTTCGCAGTGAATACTGTATTTATAGGGTGTTACGCGCCAACATTTCCCATAGTGTGGCCTTCAGTATAAAGAACTTAAGGATGGTCTCTATGTGAGCCCCAGAACTGTCTTGTGCCTGCCACCAAGCAAGTAGGAGTTCAGTTAATTTTTGGTGAGTGGGTTCAAAGATAAATAGACATACTTTGGTTTGGTTTACTTGGCAATGCTGGCAATGGATCCCAGGACCCACGGCACCCTAGGTATGTTGGTTACCATTGAGTTATGTTCCTAGCCCTCACAAAGTAAATACTATTTTCCTGTGGGCTGCCATGCTCCAACTGGGGGTGAAGAATTAACTTTGCTCTAGAATATCAGTTCTCAACCTGTGGGTCAAGATCCCCTTTGGGGGGTCGCATATAAGATATCTTGCATATCAGATATTTGCACTATGGTTCATCATACTAGCAAAATTACAGTTATGAATTAGCAATGAAGATAATTTTATGGTGGGGGTCACCACAACATGAGGAACTGTAGTAAAAGGTCGCAGCATTAGGAAGGTGGAGAACCACTGCTCTAGAAGGAGCTGGAAGTTGCCAGGGTCTGGTTTTGAACCCAGCGTTTCTGATGGTGGCACTCAGGCCTTCATTCTACCAAACAGGGGTTCTGGGTCTTTTGTGTTTCCTTTTGGCAGTCTGGTGAACCTAAGCATAGCATTTAAAAGTATATAAATACCCCCTCCCCAAAGAAAATCGATTATATTGAAATAGAGCTATCAGAATATTCAAAAAGAATGATGTGATAGCGTAGCATTCCTCTTTAATAGCACATTAAACTAACAGCTCCTCACATGGAACCTAATAAGCGTTAGTGTTGGGATAGTGATGAGAGTTTGGTATTTTGAGGATGTGTTGATTTCATTGATAAAAGTGTGTGATTTCTGCTTCGAGAATCGCTGATTCTACAAACATTACTGGAGGAATCAAAGGGATTGTTAAGGTTCACTTAGAGGTGAGTGAGAATAAAGATGCCATTCCTCACTTTCAGGTTTACATACCTCCTGAATTCCCCCCACAGACTGGCAGGGTTCAAAAGCCAGCCCCAAAACTTGTGGTGGTTGGCGGAAGAAACGGGAATACTCTAATTCTTAAATGTTGGCTTTTCAATGTAAGGAAATTTAGCTCACCTGTGTATGAATGCCTCCTTGATTTTCAAAGCCTCTAATGAAGTGTCTTTCCCAGTGTTTAGAATGGGCAGGGTGTGGAGGGGTGGGCAGGAGCCAGCAGTTATAATGATGGGACATGGGGGTGGCTTTTTAGGGGCTGAAGAAATGACTCAGTGGCCGGAAGTTGAAGTGGAAGCTTCCGGTTTAGGTTGGATGGTGCTGGAAAGAGGATGGCTGTAGAGTGTAATGAATTGAAGTTTGGACTTAGAATCCAGAGCTGGGTCTGCTGTCATTGAGCTAGGAGCCTGAGACTGGCCGAAAGGGCTCCAGGGGAGAACCGCGGTGCCTCCTGGCGGGGGGTGCCATTCTTCCGCTCACATTTTTAGCTTCCTTTGGGAGTTCCTCATTTGCCACAGCAGACACCTGTTTTCTTTTCAACTTCCCAGTGAAGTGAAGCATGGCTCTTCCTTATAAAACGTTGATTTTTCAATTTAAGAAAATTTAGGACACCTGTGCGTGAATGCCCCCCTGATTTTCAAAGAAATGAGCAGTTACATAAAAATCAAGGTTGTAGTTGTCGAAAATCACATGTTGCCAAATTCCCTCTCGAAGAACCCTTTATTAAATGACTAATTGTGGCCACAGAGGCAGGTACTCAACAAAGGCCTTAGCCGCGGACCTCCCTTAACCCCAGAGTGGAGTTTGTTTTTCCTTTCTCAACTCCGCCTTCAGAGGGCAAGTCTCACATGCTGGAGGTGTATTCTCCACTTCACTTTTCCAGCAATGGTCCACCCAGTCTCTACATTTTCTTTCCATCTATAATTATAGTAGCAGGGGAGAATGATGAGCCTGGGGCCCTGCAAGATCCTAAACTGAAGATTGAATTATATTAACTCTCCCCGGCTGGAAGGTGGTCAGATGCATTTGAAAAGGCTTTATAATAAGGCTTTATACTAATGAGAGCTCGGGCGAAGATTCAGCCCCGCCCTTTAATTACGTTCACCGGATAGAGTCTTCTCCACCATCCAGGGGAAGCTTTGCAGCGTACACCTAGGCCTCTAGGACAGCGGTTCTCAACCTGTGGGTCGCGACGCTCTGGGGTGGCTGATCAATCCTTTCATGGGGCTGCATATCCGATATCCTGCACAGCAGGTATTTACATGACGGCTCATAACAGTAGCAAAATTAGAGTGAGGAAGTAGCAATGAAATAATTTTATGGTGTGTGTGTGTGTGGGGTGGGGGTCACCACAGCACGAGGAACTGTATTGACGGGCCCCAGCATTAGGAGGATTGCAAACCACTGCCCTAGGACATGATATCTAAGGCCACCAGAGAAACAAAAGGTAAATTGATTGGCAGATAGGCTGGCCAGCACTGACATCATGCACTCTTAGAGGAGGGGCGTCTATTGTTGGGGGTCGGGGAGAGCAAGAGCAGCAAAGAAAGAGACTTCAGGTGAGGGAGATGCTGGAGAAGCTGGTCACTGGTCCATCTGGAAGTGCTTTCGGGAGCAGCCCAAATTCTAGACATTTTTCTAAGGACCAGGGGAATGGCATTTTTGGCAGGATTGTGGGAACTTCTAGGAGGGCGGGGAAGGTTGTCAGTGAGCCAGGTCCTCCTGGTGCTGGTTGGTAAGAATTGGAGCAGACAGTTGGTATGAAAACTGGGTTTTGGGGTCAGAGACAGATGGCGGAGAAAATTGTCAGTGGGAATCCTGGAGGATCCCTGGGGAAGTGGTCATGGACCTGGAGGATCCTGGGGAAGTGGTCATCGACCTGGATGATCCCTGGGGAAGTGGTCATCGAGCTGGAGGATCACTGGGGAGTGGTCATCGACCTGGAGGATCCCTGGGGAGTGGTCATCGACCTGGAGGATCCCTGGGGAGTGGTCATCGAGCTGGAGGATCACTGGAGAAGTGGTCATCAAGCTGGAGGATCACTGGGGAGTGGTCATCGACCTGGAGGATCCCTGGGGAAGTGGCCATCGACCTGGAGGATCCCTGGGAAGTGGCCATCGACCCGGAGGATCCCTGGGAAGTGGTCATCGACCCGGAGGATCCCTGGGGAGTGGCCATCGACCTGGAGGATCCCTGGGGAGTGGCCATCGACCTGGAGGATCCCTGGGGAAGTGGTCATCCAGCCCCCAGGTTGTCATCCGAAGGATCCCAGAGGTAGAAGGGAAGGCACATGCCTGCTCTTGAACAGACCAAGTTTTCAGTTCTTGGTGTTTATCACCTGATAATCAGAGCAGAAGCAGTAGAGTTGGGAATTGAAGAAGTCAGTGTTCTCCCCTCCCCCACCTGCTGGTGCTTATCGTTCTCTTTATTGAAAATGAAACCCAAACTGATGCTGGTCATGTGTTCCTTCTGGTGATTCTCTGATGCTGTTTGCCCAGGCTCTCCTTAAGTTGGTGTTAGTTTTGCATACAAATCAGTTTTTGCCCGTGGCACCATTGTCTGGTACTCAAGAGTGTTGTCTGCTGCCGCCCCTTGCTTGGTACCCACCCCTTGCTTGGTGACCGCTGCTCTCTGCAGGGCCTGGGTCTAGAGGCAGGCTTCCGACCTCTCGAGGACCTGTTCTGTCGTTCCTTCGTCCCCAAGAGCTGCCCATTTTCAAATCTTTTTCTCAGAGATGTCGACTATTAAGTAATAGTTAGTGTGCCTTTCCTATGTGATAATCAGTATGGTAGCTCACTTTCATACCGTCCTGCTGTCAGGGTTGGGCTGTGGGTTGCAAAGATGGCCGAAGTCCACACACACACACACACACACACACACACACACACACACACACACACACCTGTGTACTGGAGCGTTGGCACCTTGGCCCTGGACTGCGATTGGCCACACTCTCAAGTGTTTCAAAATCTCCAAGGTGGCCAGCTTCCTGACCACAAGTGGCGGCGTGAGGCCTCTGGGACCTTGGGTAACTCGGTGGTGTGCGTCCTTATTTACATTACTAACCTTGGCCGACTTAGCCAGGAAGCACTTTCAGTGGAGGGAAGAGGAGCTTGGAGCTGAGCTCTCACTGGGCGCTGCAGGTCAGGCTGCCCCGCCCCGGGGACTCTTACTGTTTGCTAAAGGACTTCTAGAGAATGTACACATTGTGTAATCAAAACACGGAGTCAGACTCCATAAATATGTGTATTATGTCAGTCCAAAGAGGAAGCCAAGAGAGAAAGGGGA